AGGCGCTGAAATCGGTGTCGATGTTGACGCTGAAGTTGGCATTGAGGGCGCTGCTGAAAGCTGGCACTGGAGGCGCTGAAGCAGACACTGAAGCTGACAGCAAGTTGGAGGCGCCGTCTGCTTTGGCGCAGAGTGCCTATCAAGTTGGGGGATTTGCCTCATCTTTAAGACGGATAATATGCGGATAATGTAGAATTTGCATCAGGCTTAAGTCTTCAATGAACACATTTCCTAGAGATAATTGCCTGCTCGTGTAAGCAGTCACGCAATAACGGCACGTGGCAGCGCCAGGGAACGCACGCGCACCAACTACGCCATTTCGAACGGCGCAAAATCGGGCGACTGAGTAACACCTGAAAAGCGCCGCGACCTTAACATCTCTGATGGTTTTCTCCCCTGCATATGTGGGGATGAGTCAAAGTGTCATCCCATCGCCAGTCTGAACCCACTCAACGTGTAGAATATTCTCACTGTAGTCTATGACCTCACTGGCTTCAATTTTCCTTGGGACAGCAAACACGATGAGGTTGCTACACCGCTTTTTTCCGGATACATTGCTCTCTTCAAGGTTTTCTCCTGCGGCTCCGGGTGTAGGCGCATGCGCAAGAATTTCTTCATTGCTACACCGTACTTAAATACTATTTCTACCTAGTTTTAATTCTATGGCTCCTTTAGCTTTGATAAAAGAGGCCATCCGGAGGACTTGAGACACCCAGCGGTAATTTTAATTCAAAGGCTCCTTCAGCTTTGATAAAAGAGGCAATACGGAGGACTTGTCTGTGGTAATTGTCTGCATGTGATGCTGTCATCCTATGCTTCTTGCCATATTCGCGTGGGCAGTTGGGTGATAACAGACACGCTACTTAGCATCTCTTTGCCTTTTTCTTTGTTGGTCGTTGTCCGTATTTGCGTCACCTGCCGAGATGCCCACCTTGGTCAAAACGGAGAAACTGGTCTGGTTCTTCATTGCATAACCAGGTGTTCTGAGGTCAGGTCATTCGCCGAATATCGCCCGCAAACAGGCCTCGCCTATATACTGAAGGTGCGGTCTGCATTGGAGACAACGAAGGTACCTCGTGTAAACTACTCATTTATCTGGTATGAATTCATTGATATTTTTTCACTCATACTGTCACCCATCTGGTATGAATTAATTATTTTTCCCTACTTATATTGTCTCTTATACACGGTTACACACAAGTCGAGAGGTCTTTTTAGGGTCCATTGTTTGAAGTGGTCAGGCCGGCAGAGGTCACAACAGGTCAAAAACACGTCCTTCGAAGAGAGAGAGAGAGAGAGAGAGAGAGAGAGAGAGAGAGAGAGAGAGAGAAGAGAGAGAGGAGAGAGAGAGAGAGAGAGAGAGAGAGAGAGAGAGAGAAATAGAACAAAACTTACCAGACACAGACAGAGATGATGAAAGTTCTTTAAAGACGAGAACGTGCACAAGGGCCCAGCTAGTAAACGGCAATCCAACTGCCAAGAATTCGGACCCACAGCTGCCCACGTGCGCAACGCAAGGATCTGAGCTACAAAGAACAAACTAACTTGGTTGTAAATATTATCAATATATTCTGAGAAAGCAATGACTTGACTTTACGGATAATCTCTCTCGGTTTGGTCAAAGTCACAAACACGCATGATTTTTTTTAACTCACGGTGTTTGTGCCTAATTATAGAAATTAGATTATCTGTCACTGCTTTATTTAACGTTTCTTTTTGTATCTCCTAACAATGTAAAAAAATCTAAGAGCTTACCTACTTGAAATTAGATGACAAGGTGTTTATATAATTTGCATTTGGATTCGATCTCCTCACGAAGAGTCAACAACAACAACAAAAAAAAAAAAAAAAAAAATTCCTATACAATGAATGATGTTCCTTTGTTTTGCATACCCGTGAGCTGGGGTTTGAGGTTTATATGGGTTATGTTGTCATAGATTTCTCTCTGTCATATGCCGCGAGGGAGTAAAGATGGCGTCGCCAGATGACTCGGCAAACATTCATGACAGTTATCCATTTTGTACACCCACGAGGCAGGTTGTGTAGGTGGCATCACTCAGGATCGAATAAGTCCGTGGATTATACGAACAGCTGATCTGCTATTGTCATCACTCGGCCATGAAATTCAGCAAAGCTATTTCGATTTCTAGATCATTCATGGATGTGACGAAAGAAGGATCCTTTGGCAACTTTCTTATTTGGGGTCCATCAAAAATGCCAGCTTTTACATTCTCGTCACTAAGACCACTAAAGGTTGCTCTAATATACCTGGAACGATCATCATCTTTGCTCAGAGGTTTTACAGATTGTTTCATCAGTCCAAGCTTTAGACGAAGAGGTGGGAAAATGATCCGATTCGGGTCCACCAATGGCTCATTCACAATACCTTTCTCCCCAACATTGAAACTGTCCCTCCTTGGCCAATCTTTTCTAATCCGATGTTCAGCTTTGGCTCGACATAAGCTTGAAAAACAAGGATAGTTTGTGTACCCACTCTGCTGTCCCAGAAGGAAATATACCATGTCAAGTCAGCACAAATTTACCCATTGGTGCTCCTCATATTGGATCTTTTCTAGAACTACTTTTATGTTGTCATACTTTTCCTTGGGTGTCACTGAATGTTCTATTGGAATTGAACCATATTTATTGCCATCTCTGAAATACTGTAGCAACATTTTTTTCTCTTTGTCGATAAAAATCAATTTTTGTATGGGAATCTCTTCTGAATGGAAAACTGGTCTTATTGCTGAATGAAGGTTTGGGTATTGCAATAGTCTTCTGTTCTTTGAATTGAAACCAGTAGTACTGACAAGGCAGAGATAACAGTCGTCGAAATGATTTTTTGGCTCTCACCGTACCATTGGAATACCAAACTTCAAATCTTTTCTGTCACCCTTTGTCCTTCTTCTAAGGCTTTTCAAGATCGGCAAACAGTGTGGGGAGCCCATGCCTTGTCTTAATCAAGTTTGATTTTAAAGTAGGCATAGCAAGCTTTTTCCACAAAATCATTAATGCACTGCCGCTGCTGGGATGAAGTGAAAGATCCACAGATATAACAAAAACACCTGGATTATTTAAGCACTTCCTTCTGGCAATGGTCATTACGAAATCAAAATAACAAAAAAATATCTGAACAGAAGAATGTCCCGCGAAAAGAGAAACAGCTGGAACCCTTCAATGTTGATTTTATTGGCCAAATTAAGTAAAGGGACCATCCACTCATTGGTGTGCATCAGGAAAATGATCAATATGCTTCCAAATTTCTTCATTTTTCACATCGTTCTCAGGAAAGAGTAAAACTGCGATTCTTTCCTTTTTTTCAAATGAAGCTTGATAATTATAAAAATGAATTATCAAATATATGTTTCATTGTATTCAAAAGTTTTTCCCAATTTTGTATTCCTTTTCTCCTAAAAATTGCTGTAGATTTTATTTTTTATTTTTACGGACTTTGCATAATCAGAAAATCAGCCAATGTCAAATTGCGGAGAAACCTGACGTGTGGAACAAAAAACGTATTATTTGTAATCAGCGCATCAAACTGCTTCATAAACAGTGACTGGATTTCATGCAGCAAAAATTGTGTTGGACGGTGTATATATATATATATATATATAATATATATATATATATATATATATATATATATATATATATATATATATATATATATATATATATATATAACCTCTACCTTCCTGTTTTACTCTGCTTTTTGCCTCTGCTTCCTCCACCTATCTCTCTCTTCTTCTCTCTTTTCAACTACTATCCCTTTTTTTGTCTCCCACACGTCTCTCTATTTTCTTACTTCTTTCCCTCCTCCTTACCTTTCCCATTTCATTTCCTCCTTCATTTCAACCTCATCTCTCTCCCTATCCCACGTCCCCCTCTTCTCCTCTCCCTTCTTTTCTTCTCTCTCTCTCCTTTCATCATACTCTTTATTTATTGCTTCCTCTTCCTTCATTATTCTCTCTCTCCTCCCACCCACCTCCCTTCCTTCTCTCTCCTTACCCCTCCTCCCTCCTTCTCCTTCCTTCATCCCCTTCCTCCTCCTTC